TATTCGGTGCTGCTTCTGATACCAGTGGACTCGGGGAGGTCCCCAAATTCCCATGGGACCTTGCCTCTGGCCAGCATCCAGGTTCTTGACACCTTCACAGGTGGTCAGGAAGGAAGTCAAGGATGAGTCATAAAAAATTGGGAAAGTACAGAGATTTATTGCAAAGTGAAAAGTTCACACTCAAGAAAGGGAAGTGCGGGTGTACTCAAGAGAGTGAGTCACACCATTGGGTTTGGGAGTTTGGGGTACTATGGGTTTCTTTAGCCAAGGGATGGAATATTTATGAAGATTCTTAGAAAAATATAAAGATTTCTCGGAACTGCGGTGTCACCCATTTTTCACCAAATATGGGTGTTCCTGGAACTCTCAAGGTGCTCGGGCATGTGTGATTGAGTATGTTAATGAGTGTATAATGAGATCCTAGGTGAAACCCAGGTCAAAGCCAGTGCCATGTTTGGTCCAGTCAGTCTTCGCCAGCTTGGCCCACATCCTGGTTTTCAGGGTCTTATCAGTCCCTAGCTTATGTAGCTATTTCAACAGTTTCCATTTGCTAACCACGTAAAACTGATGCCTGGAATTTTCTGTTCTCCTGTGACAACTCTCTATTATTCCTGTCTCATTTTTACCATCTTCATGGATAGAGAGTCACCCTTTGACTTTGGACTTGGCCATTTGGCATGCTTTAGTCAATGAAATATTAGCAGACAAGATGGAAGCAGTGGTTTACAATGTGCTTGCATGATTAAGCTTGACCTGCTGAGTTTCTTTTGCAATGACAAGAACATACAACTGGTCCAGGAAGGATGAGAGACACATGGAACTGCCCCTGGAACCAAGTTACAGCTTGAGGCTGAGTTCCACTACATCAGGTGACCCTTAACGGAATTGCAAATTTGTGAATGGGAATTAAATACCTTCCATATGCCACTTCGTTTTGGGGTGATTTGTTTTGCAGCAGTTTTGTGGCAATAGCTGACTACTATGAATTAGAATTTTTGTACAAAAAACTGACTCTGAATAAGCTAATTTAAAAAAAAAACTATAAGAGAAAGATAAAGAATAGCCCCCAGAACAAAAGGCAAAGTGAAAGAACCTAGCTCAGAAAGAATAAGGACAAAGCATCCCCAAAGATCTAGGTAGCAGCAACTAATGGTAAGCCTCTACAAAGCACCAAGGCCAGGATGAATGAAGGTCAATAGATTTCATTATTTGGGTTATTTTCAAGATTCAGGGAGATAGAGATTGTTTCAATTCAGTCACATGACACCATTTTATTCCTTGGCTACTGAATGGGTATATACTTTAATGGTAATCTCCAAGGGAGACCTAGATCCCCAAAGAAAAAAGGAGCTGGAGCTTTCCGAAGAGAAAACAGACCTTGAGCACACACAGATAACAACTACAGTGACCTCACAATATTTTGCAAGGAAATCTTCCATTTGCAGGATTCTCTAGGGAAATAGCACCAGGATTCTCTAGGGAAATAGCACCAATATGATATGTGTGTGTGTATATATATGTACATACATACATATATTTTTTAGAAGAGAGTTTTCATGGGAATTGTCTCACGTGATTATGGAAACCAAGAAGTCCCTACTATGCTGTCCATAAGCTGGAGAATCAGGAAGGCCAGTGATATAATTCTGTCCAATTCTGAAACCCTGAGAATCCAGGGAGCCAATGGTTTAACTCCCACTCCCAGGTGAAAGACCTGAGAACTGGAGATGAGGAAAGTGGGAGAGATGGGGTGTTGATGAAAGTCCCTGAGTCTGAAGGTTCAAAAACCAGGAGCTCTAATGTCCAAGGGCAGAAGAAGTTGGATGTTCCAGCTCAACAAAGAGAGAGATTTGCCCCTTCTCTGATTTTTTGTTTTATTTGGATCCTTAGAAAACTGGGTGGTGCCCACCCAATTGGTAGGTGCAGATCTTCTTTATTTAGTCTTTTGATTCAAATGCCAATCTTTTCCAGAAATACTCACATAGACATACCCCAGAATAATGTCCTATCAGCTATCTGGGCATCCCTTAGCTTAGTCAAGTTGACACATAAAATTAACCATCACAAATATCTTTCAAATATCTATCGAATTATATCTTAGCAGCAACTCACTGTTTGAGCTGTTGGTCAAAGTCCTTGGAAACATGGGTCCATCAGAATTATGTGGGAGAGGATTATATGAAGTGTCAAAATAGACTCTTTTTTTTTTTGATAAATATTCCGCTATCTCTATTGATGTTTAAGAAGCAATAAACTAAACTTAATGAAGTCAAGTTCCAGGCTGATTCTTTCATTAATTAGCTCTATGGTCTTGAGTAACTCACTGAGACCATCTGGTCATTAATGCTCCTACTTTTGAAATGGAGGTAATTTTTGCTTTTTACTTCAAGGGGTTAAGCCCCTACCCCCATCCCCACTACTGCCTGAAATATCTGAACACTTAGTATGAACTAAATATTGAGCTAAAAACTTTCTGTATTATGTTACTTAATCTTCACAACAACCATTTTAGGTAGTAAATTATTATTAGTAAATTATTTTACAAGTAAAGAAGCCGAAGTGTAGAAAACTTAAGTAACTTACTCAGAGTCAGACTATAGTAAATGATGTTCCTAGATTTAATCTCCAAGTCTGCCTGGACCCTGAGGCTGAGGTTCTAACCTCAATTATTACACCCAAACAGATTAATACATGTGAGTGTGCTTTGAAAATTATACAATACCATACAAAGATAAGAGATTATTATTTTCCATAAACTAGATTGGATTTTTACCTAATAGTAAATGACCCACTTCATTCTGGTCTTCCTAAATTGAAAAAGTACACAAAAATATATCTATTTGTGTAGCATGAGCATATTGCCTCAAATTCCATTACCCAGGAAGAAAAATAAAAATATAAAGAGAACCTAGAGAATAGGCAGAAAGGAAACAAGACACTAACAATGTGCATTTCAAATAAGCAGAAACCAACCATACGATTGGAGTACCTGAAATTGATTGGATCAAAGTTTTATTAGAGTTTCATAATATTTAGCTTCTCTGTGCACAGTGACATCTGGGGCTCAGTATTCATTAAAATGTGTTAAACATAGCAGGTATTATTTAGTAGGAAAATGAAATATAGAAGTTATGTCAGCAGTTATTTTGAGCACTGAGACCTTTCCCCTTAACACTCAGCCAAGATGTGGTATGTTTTTAAAGGCTTGAAAGATAAAATTTATTGATTTGTATATAAGACCAAAAATGCTCAGATTAATACATGATTACTTGTAATGTGTTGCTATTTTACAAGAGAATGGGCAGATTTTTGCCTTCAACTGTTCAATGCTGACAAACCAACCAAAAACTGTTCTGTGATAAGGCTTGTTTTATGAGAAGAACCTGGAAAAGTTTCCGAGAGTCATGACAACATGTAAAGGCCAGAATATGCGGAATTTTAATATAAAGATGCTCCACAAGCAAAGGAATCCTTTGGTATCATGTAAACATCTCCAATTCTCAAGAATTCACTATCTAGATTAGCATATTAGACTCTGAGATGTCCTGCAATTACACTTATACTTGTTTAACTGTGGGTTGCTCTGTGTAGGTGAGTAGATAAAATCACATGCAGCAAGAATAATAAAACACTTTTCATGGGAACTTTGTATTAGGAAATAATACTTAAATAAAAAAAGAAACAGGTTTTCCAAAATTAAGAAAATAATGAGCAATCTAACAGAGTTATAACGTATCTGAAGGGTTTATAACGTAGAATACACTGATTTGATTTCTGCTGAGGAGAGAACAACATAAATAAGTTTAAGGACCAACAAAATAGAAATTGTTATAGAAAAAAAAAGAGAATATCAGTAGAGTGAAATGCTGAAATGGTTACTGTGCTTAAGCACAGCTCAGATTTTTACAGAATGTCAGAGGTGGTTTAAATGTGATTGTATGGTAGAAAACTACCCAAGAGATGCTCAAAAGATTCCATCTAGTCCAATAATTGCTTAGTTATCTAGATTTAATGTTCTTTCTATTTCGATCCAGAAAAGTTCAATCTTCAAAATAAGCACTTTATGGAACAAAGATAAAGTTAAAAAATATTCTCTGTGGTCCATAAACCCATTCTGTATCATTATCAAATGTTTTAAACATGAGGTCTGTGGAAATAAGTGAAGGCCACCCAAATGAGAGCAAGCAAAGACCATTTAGTCAGTTTGCTATAGTGAGAAACAGCCACTGCAATCATTTGTGTTTGATACAAACTCAAAGGAGGGCAGAGGAGAGAGAAGACTTTATAGTGGGAAAAAAAGAAGGCTTCGAGTGAGCCCTGACTGGAGACTCTTGGCATGGGGACATGTAGGCAGGCTAAAAAGATCACCCTGATATTGCTGAAGAAGACCAGAAAGAGCTGTGGATGCTAGCAGGGCAATTCATTGGGAGGCACCTGAAGAAACCCAGCTCAGAGATGTTGGGGACATGACTAGCATGGTACTAGCAGAGATGACGAGATGTCACTGGGGTCTGAATATGCCCTTAAGGTAGGTCCAACAGGATTTCCTGACATATTGGATTTGGGTTTTGACAGAAAGAGTGAAGCCAAGGATGTCTATGAGGTTTTTGGTGTAAGAAACTGGAAGGTTGGAGGTAAAATCGGTGGAGATGGGAAAGGCTGTGGGTGAAACAGGATTGGGGGGTGAAGAGGAAGAGCTCAGTTTTGGATATGTTTACATTTGAGATATGTTTAGATTTAAGGCCATAAATTATAGAAATGAAGGGTTCCAAGAGATTGAAGTCTGTCGAAGTCTGAAAGAACAAGAACTCTTCCCTCCTGTGAGGAGGTCATGTAAGGAACAGAATCTGAGAGATGCTTCACTCTTGACCTTGACTGTCTTGCTTCCCTCTGGTACATGAGGATACTGAGGTCAGTTCCTTGCAAGATTACAAGCCCTGCCAAGACATCAGAGTTGTCTTAGTTGGCTTGGGCTGCCATGACAAATACTACAGACTAGGTTGCTTAAACAACATTTATTTTCTCCCAGTTGTGGAGGCTGGAAGTTCAAGATGCAGGTTTCAGCAGTCCTGCTTTCTCCTGAGGTCACTTCTTGCCTTGCAGAAGACCACTTTCTTGTTGTGTCCTCTCATGGCCTTTCCTCTATGCACCCGCATCCCTGAAGCTTATTATTTTTGTGATTCTTCCCATATGATACCAATCATATTGGATTAGGGCCCCACCCTGAGGGCCTGATTTTACCTTAATTATCTCTTTAAAGACCCTGCCTTGATACATGACAGTCACATATCAAGGTACTGGGGGTTAAGGCTACAAAATAGGAATTCTAGGAGGTTGGAGGTCATAATTCAGTCCATAATAAGAGCTGAATCCAGATTTTTCAATTCCAAGTTCATTACTACTTCCATAGCACCATAGGGATAGCAAGTCAAAATATTACCTAATCAGTAAGGTCTTCCCTGACCACCTTGTTTAAAATCACAAATTACGCACATCCTTGGGGGTACTTGCCATTCCCCTTTTCTGCATCATATTTTCTCATAGCCATTATTTTAAGTATTTATATATTTTCATTTATTTTGCATATTGTCCCCACGTCCTCCATCAATGTGTAATTCATGAGGATGGGGATTTTTCTATTTTATTTACTGCTCTATCTTTGGCACATAGAGCCTCACACATCGCAGGTGTTCAATAAATATTTTTGACTGCATGCATGGATGTGTAAACGCATAAGTAAATCTAAGTAAAATATCTTAACCCACTTGCATGCTGGGACTAGATAAGCATTCTCTTAGCAAACCAAGAGTGGAGTTGTACACATTCTGAAAACAGGATCTCCATCTGCCTGCCATATAAATTACCCACACATGAGAACAGGCCATGGCAACAGCCCAGAGCCATGGTGCTTTTGTTCCATTGCTATGTTTTCTGTGCAGTACTCACAGTTTCCAGACTGGAGCCTTCCAGTGCAGAATTTATGCTTGTGTATCTCTACGGGACAGTCATCAAGTGCGCCTGTCACCAAAGCAGAAATCATCAAGAAACAGTTGCTAAGTTAGCAGGAGTTGAACAAATTCTGGAACCCTGCTCCAAGGCCTAACTGAAAAATAGACCTTGAGGATGAGACAACTCTGGTTGTGTCGGGGAATGTGCACATTTATAGATGCAGTTCTCTAGTGAGATTGTCTTGTGCTGAGGAGAAAAGTTTAAAAAGAAACAAAACACTGAAATGGCTTCTTCTGTCTTCTGGCAATCCATCTTGTAGTGTGGGCTGGGGAAAAAAAAAAGGAAGAAAGAAAAGTGATGAAGTAAATATAGCAAAAGCAAAAAAGGAGTGAGGGGCATGTTGGAACACTTCTTATCCACTCAGGAACAGAGAAGCAAAGCTATTATATCTGCAAGTTACTATTTTCTGTTTTCCTTCTGTATTGATTTGTTAGGGCTGCCACAACAAAGGACTACAAACTAGGTGACTTAAACAACAGACATGCATTGTTTCACAGTTCTGGAGGGGAGAAGTCTGCAATTAAGTGTCAGCAGGGCCACACTCCCTTTGAAACCTATAAGGGAATCATTTTGCCTCTTCTTAGCTTCTGGGAGTTGGCTGAATGTTTTTGGTGTTCCTTGGCTTATAGCTGCATAACTCCAATCTCTGCCTTTGTCATCACGTGGCGTTCTCCCCATGTGTCTGTCTTCACGTGGCCATCTTTTTTTAAGGACACCAGGTGTATTGGATTAAGGGCCAGTCCCGCTCCAATATTACCTCATCTTATGTAATTATGTCTGCAATGACCCTAATTCCAAAGAAATGTATGTTTTGAGCTACTGGTGTTTAGGACTTTCAACTTATCTTTTTTTGTGGGAAAGGAGACACAATTCACCCTGTAACACCTTCCTAGCATATAGAAAGTAAAGAGGACCTTAGAAGTAATTAACTAACCAAGTGGTTTGTAAACTTCTTTATATAGAACCAGAGTTAATCTTAGTTTTTTTTTTAACCTTTCATAAATACTCAGTGTAAATGTACTAAAAAGTGGGGACATCTGGAGGTATGTGAGATTGTTAGTATTACTATCAAGAATAGGAGTGGAGACTAGGGATAAAAAGAAAAAGTGGGCCGGGTGCAGTGGCTCACTGTAATGCCAGCAGTTTGGGACGCCGAGGAGAGTGGATCGTGAGGTCAGGAGTTTACGACCTGCCTGGCCAACATAGTGAAACCCTGTCTCTGCTAAAAATACAAAAAATAAAAATAAAAATAAATAAAAAGCCAGGCGTGGTGGTGGGTGCCTATAGTCCCGGCTACTTGGGAGACTGAGGCAGGAGAATTGTGTGAACCAGGGAGGTGGAGGTTACAGTAAGCCAAGGTCGCGCCATTGTACTCCAGCCGGGGCGACAGTAAAATACTTTATAAAAAAAAAAAAAAAAAAAAAAAAAAATGTGAAATAAGAAAAGATCAGGGATGATCTCATGGTGAAAATGTGCCATGAAATGAGTAGAATGATAAATGCTGCTCTCAATACTTCAGTTGCAATAGATAAAGAAAAAATTAAATATAACCCAATCGGACTCAAACAGCTGCTTCATTTGAAAGTTGGGGCAGGGGAATCTTGAGGGAGGTCACACAAATTGGCTTCCATTATTCTTCTGGATGGCCCCTGAAGTGATTCCACACCACTGTTTTCAGCCCAATTCTCTCATTCAACAGGTAGAAGAACTGGAACTTAGAAAGGTAACATGACTTGCCCAAAGGCTCACAGGGGTTAACAAAGTCCTTTCCCATGTGGCATCTGAGCACTGACACAATGTGGGAAACCAGGAATAGGTACAGGTGTGTGGAATTTAGGTGTGCAGAAATCCAGCTTTCCTTATTGTACAACTCAGTTCAATTGCTCTTTCAAAATTCTACTCTTCTAGGAAGCAGAGAATTAATTTCAGTCAACTGAGGGTCATTTCAATCAGTTTGTTGCCTAAGCCCCAGCCTGTGAGTTGTGTCTCTATGTCAGGGAAGGATGGAGTAGGATGTTCTGGTAATTGAGCAAGGTGTTGGTGCCACCCACCTGCACTGGCATATGCAGAGTCTCTGCCTTACTGGGAGTTGTCAGTTCATAGCTGCTCTTCCTTTTCTATCCTAACCCTGGTCCTTTCAGCTATTTCCATGACTACTCAGAGTTAAGAGAAATGTTTGATGTTTCTCTTATGATGATGCCTCAGGCCCATCTGCCTGGATAATCCCTGCAGCAAACTCTATATTCTTTGAAACTCCCAAAAGATGCTGAATGTGAGGATGCTGTGTGTGACCTGCCATTACCCTAGGGTCAATTGGAGAAAGAAACACAGGTCTTCTAAGTTCTCGGATCCCTCCAAACCCATTTGAGGTTTCTATTGCAATCTACCCAGGGATTAAGTCCAGGGCCACATCTCAGGGTCACAAGGAGAGAAGCTTCCAGTCTGGAGGTGGAGTAGGTTCCTCTTACCATCATTTTCTCTCACATCTACTATTTATGTTATCAGCTCTGCAGGGCTTTTGAAGCTCAGAAACTTATTTTTCTGCTTTTCTGTTGTACTAACTATTCTCTGAGGCAATGGATACTCCCCAGTCTTGCCTGTAGAAGGAACAGTCAGAGGACAGAAAGGAGTTCCTAAGAATGAAAAACACATGGGCTGATACATTAAAATACAACTCCACAACACACACATCACAATAATAGCTAACATCTGTGAGCCATAAAATCATTTCCAAATTGCATCCTCTTTGTCAAGCCATTTTAATTGAAGGGTGGAATCCTTTTCAAGCAGACCACCATGTTTCTTATCCAAATTAAATGGTATTATTAATATAAAACTCAATACCACCTGGAACAAAGTAATATTTGACAAATATTAGTAGTAGTATTCATCAAATTATTATTGTTTTCCCATGTGCTCTGCATTAGTGACTGTTAACGATTCTCATAGAAGCCCTGCACTAACCCCTCTTTGAACTCCTCCTTCTCTCTATGAAAGGTGACATTTCTTGGATCCTAAAATCTTTTGAAGTCATCCTTTTTCTCTTAATCAAGGGAGAAGCCCCCGAGATATCTGAAAACCACAGACAGAACCCATACAGAATGCTTGATTTATTACTGGCCAAAAAAAAAAAAAAAAAAGGTTGAATTGAATTGTGACTGTTAAACCACTTGAAGGAAAATTGCAATAATGAGCTAAAAATCAACTCTAAATATATTACTTGCGGAAAACCTTGGGACAGCACAAGCAGGCTACATTCTTCCCCTTCAAATATATTGAGAGGTAAAAATGTATTTGATTTATTTTGTCATTTAATTTCCCTTCCATCTCTTGGCCTTAAGTCTCAGAGGGTTCAAGTTTCTTGATTGGACAATCAGAATTTTCATTCTTTGCCCATTATTTTCCCCATTGGCAGCATTCCCATAATAACAGCCTGATGAAAATATGCTTCCTCCAGTGGCTCCTCACTGCCTCCGAAAAATTTCCGAAGGGGTTTAGGCAGTTTCTATCAAAGGAGAGAACTATGGGAAAGTTCAGATAGGTTTTAGAAATCAGAGTGGCATGGTTTTCTTCCTAATTGTGTATGCATGTGCACAATAACGGTAGGAAGGCATTCTTCAAAGTTGGGTCTCTTCAAAGATTTCACGGTGCTGGAGGGTGTTCGCCAAGACTCAGGATTCCTGCTGGGATTCTTCTTCTGAAAGGTCACAGAACTGGGAAGCTTGTTTCTTTTTAAGATGCCACCCCAGAGAGAGGTTATTATCACATTAAACTAGTTCCTACTGCTAAGGGGAGACTTAGGAGTACCAGCTTGAAAAATAGGCTTCTCTTTTGCATAGGTTTTGGAAAGTTCCCCATTTTTTTCTCCCAATGGGCTCTCACTTGACCATTTTATGCCAGTAATGCAGTCCAAATTTCTTCTTTGATATTAACCTGTAAAAATGTCTGCTATGACTTCCAATAATTAATAAGATCTATATTGTCAGAAAGAACAAACTCACTGATTGCATTGTGTCTTTAGTATTATGCTTGCTTTATGTCTCTACCTATCCAGTTAATTCCCATTCGTGGTGACATTGGAATGCTTCCAATTACTCCCCAATATTCACTCATTCTCTCAAACATTCAAGAAGTATTACTAAACATCTTCCGTGTGGTACATACTGTCCTGGGCCTTGTGGATGACCAGGTAGCATGAATTCAATAAAGACCGAATTTGAATAACAGAAGGGTAGAAGGATTCAATTCACCATTTGCCAACCTCTAAACACTGACTCTTGAACTAGGTCTTTGTTAGTAGCATACTTTACTGGTACTAACTCCTGTAAGTAATACCCTTGTATGAATTAGGCATTCTTATTTTCTTCTAAGCTAGAATTTATTTTTCTCAATGTTTCACATAATCGTAGTGTTTATCAAAACGCTTACCATTACCATGACATAAAAGTGGGCATTCTTAACCACAGAAACAGAAGAGGGGCCTGATTCATCCATTTGGTTTAAGCTTTGCTTAAAATGTGTCTCTGAGCTTAGTGTGGATGGAAATGTGTCAGTGGGGCAGTGCAGTTTTCCCAGCTTTGTTTTGTCAGCCAAGAAATAAGTGAAGTCAAGTGGAAGCCTAAAGGATGAAGCAGAGCTGCTCTGCTTGAAGCTGCCAGGTCTTTCAGCATGCCCGAAGGCAAGCCTGAGAACCCAGGGCTCTGCCAAGGACCCTGGGAAAATCATCGGTGCACTAGAAACACACTAGACAGTACTAGAGGTCTGACTGCTAACCTGTTGTCACTTACTAATATATGCTAGTGCAGCTTTCCTGTACCTGTTTGGACTTTGTGATAAATTTGTGTTTGAGTAAGGAGAGGAAAATGTGGGATTGCTGGGTGGCAATATTGTCTGGAAGTCAAAAACATGGGCTTTGGATTCAAATTCCAACAATTAGCTATTTTACTAAGCCTAGGAAAGTTATTTTACTCCTATGCCTCAATTTTCTATTTGTAAAACATTGAGGTTGATGATAATAATGGCATCAACCTCTAAATACTTATTTCTGAGTATTAAGTGAGATAATACATACAAGGGTTTAGAACAGCTCCTGATACATAGTCAACACTTAATGAATATTTGCTATGTCGTAGATACTACAGCTGTTCCTGAAATATTTCTAGCTCTCTGGCTTCTCAACAAAGTCCAGCTGAATTCCTTGGTCCCTGTGGTTGGGAGAGGTCATGTGATTGTTCTAGGCCAATGAGCTGGGAACAGAAGAGACTAGCCAAACTTTCACATAAAGCCTTGGGTTACTACAGTGAACCATTCAGACTTCAGTTTTCTTTTTCCTTCTGGACAGGTAATGTTCCATTTTAGTGGCAGCTATAGCAACATGGATCCTGTAGTGAGGCTGCCAGAGCCAAGTGAGGTCCCAGCCACCAAACGACAAATATGTGAGTAAAAAAACCCCGAACTTTTATTATTTTAAGCCATTTGAGATATGAGAGTTGTTTGTTACCAGCATAAACTAGCACATCCTGGCTAATGAAACTACAATTATGATAATCTATTAGACAGTGGGAGAGAAAGATACAGAACCAAACTTTATCATAAATATGTCAGCATATAAGTTTACTTATTTTTTTTAATATGCCATTATTGAGATGTAGCTCATGTATCATACAATTCATCCATTTGAAGTGTACAATTCAATGTCTCATGTGTTCAGTACACAATCAATTTTAGATCATTTTCATCACCTTGAAAGACACCCTTCAGTTATCACAGCCCAATCCCCCCAACACCCCGACATTCCCACTGAGCACTAAGCCACCATGAGTCTACTTGCCGTCTCTAAAGATTTCCATGTTCTGGGTATTTTTTATTAATAGACTCATATAATATCTGGTAATTTGTGATTGACTTTTTTCACTTAGCATGTTTTCAACATTCATTCATATTGTACCATGTGCCAATACTTCATTACTTTTTATGGCTGAATAATGTTACATAACATGGTTTACCCCATTTTTTTCCATTAATCTACTGATGGACATTTGTGCTGTTTCCACATTTTGGCTATTATGAATAATGATGATATACACATTTATGTAAAAGTTTTCATATGGACATATGTTTTTATTTTTCTGAACGTATGTTTTTATTTTTCTTGAGTATATACCTAGGAGTGAAATTGGCTGGGTCATATGGTAAGTCTATGTTTGTTCATTTTCAAAACTGTCAGAATGCTTTCTGAAGTAGCTGCACCATTTGACATTCCCACCACTTTAGATTCACAGCACTGTTTTACATGTGCACCAGCAGTGTATGAGAGTCCTGACTTCTTCATATTCTCATCAGCACTTCTCTGACTTTTTGATTCAAACCATCCTAGTAGGTATGAGGTGGTATCTCATTGTGGTTTTGATTTGCATTTTTCTGATGACTAATGATGTCCAGCATCTTATTGATCATTTGTCTATCTTCCTAGAGAAACACTTATTCAAGTCCTTTGTCTGTTTTAAAAGCGAGCTTGTTGGCTTTTGTTGAGTTGTAAAACTTCTTTGTATATTTTGAAATAATTCATCAGATATATGATTTGCAAATATTTTCTCCCATTCAATGGGTTTTTTGGACTTCATAGTGTCTTTTAATACACAACATTTTTATTTTGATGAAGTTCCCTTTGTCTATTTTTTTGTTTTGTTGCTTATGATTTTGGTGTCATATATAGGAAATCACTGTCAAATTGAATATCATGAAGTTTTTCTCCTATGTTTCCTTCTAAGAGTTGAATAGTTGTAGCTATTACATTTGTTTAGATCTTTGATCCATTTTGATTCATTTTATATGATTTAAGATAATTTAACTTTATTCTTTTGCATGTGGGTTTCGTTTTTCCAATACTGTTTGTTGAAAAGAGTAGGTGTCCTTTTATTTGTCTTTCATGTAGCATAATTGAGATTCACCCATACTATTGTGTTTATTACTAGTTCATTTCCTGTTATTGCTGAGTTATATTTTGTTATATGAATATGTAACAATTTATTTATTCATTTTCCTATTGATAGACATTTGTACTGTTCTAGTCTTGGGCTATTACAAAGAAAGTTGCTATGAATATTATGTATGAACATATGCTTTGATGTCTCTTGAGTAAATACCTAAGAGTGAAATCATTGGATCATCTGGTAGGTGTGCTTTTAACTTTTTAAGACACTGCCAAACTATTTCCAATGAGGTTGTCTGGTTTTACATTCTCTCCAGCAGTGGATGAGAATTCCAGTTGTTTTATATCCACTTGGTATTACAAAACTTTTAATTTTAGCCCTTCCAAATGTGTGTATTAATATATCACTATGGTTTTAATTTGCATTGTTCTAATGACTAATTATGTTGAATATAACTTTATGTACTTCTTTGGCATCTGTATATTTTCTTTCATAAACATTCTGTTCATAATTTTTTGCACATATTTCAAATCAGGTTGTTTGTTTGCTTATTTGGTGATTTTGAAAATTATTTATATATTCTGGATAGAAGTCTTTTATCAGATATGTGCTATGCAAATATTTTCTCCCAGCCTGTGGTTTGTCATTGCATTGTCTTTTGAAAACACTTTTTAATTTTGATGATATCACTTGATCAGTTTGTTTTTAGTGAATCATGCTCTTGGTGTTATATCAAAGAAATGCTTTCCTAATGCAGGTACACAAAGATGATCTTTTATGTTTTCTTCCAGAAGTTTTAGGTTTAGCATTTATTTCTATGATTCATTTTGAGTTAATATTTACATATGGTACAAAACTTTTAAAAATGTGTTTATGGATATTAATTGTTCCAGCATTGTTTGTTGGGAAAAAAAAACCTATTCTTCCTCCACTGAGTTACATTGCACTTTTGGAACAATAAGTTGTCCTTATATGCATGGATGTGTTTTTGTAATATCTATTCTGTTCCATTGATCTATTTATTTATCTAATTAATGCTAATACCACAATACCTCAATTATTGTAGTTTTTAAATAAGTTACTTTTAAATAAAAAATAAATCACTTTAAAATAAATTACTGTAACTTTTAAATAGATCAGATAGTGTTAGTTGTTTGACTTTGTTTTTTTTTTTTTTTTTTTTTTTTTTTTTTTTTTGGCTGTTCTAGGTTATTTGCATACCCATACACATTTTAGAATAATTTTGTCAATTTGGAATAAAATAGCCTGCTTGGATTTTGAGTGGATTTTCAATTATTGAGAGAATGGTATTGAAATCTCCTACTATAGTCCTACTTAACTTTTTGAATATATAAAATACAATTATGACTGTTTTAATGTCCTTGTCTGCTAATTCCAACACCAATGTCAGTTCTGGTTCAGCTTTGATCACTTTATTTTTTCACTCTCATTATGGTCTTTTATTTCCTGCATCTTTGCATGCCTGGTAATTTTTGATCAGATGCCAGGCGTTGTAAATTTTATCTTGTTGGGTGCTGGATATTTTTATATTTCTATAAAAATTCTTGATCCTTGTTTTGGTATGTAGTTAAATTACTTGGGAAAAGTTTATTTTATTTTATTTTTTTTTTTACTTTTCTCTTTTTAAGATTGTTAGGCAGGACTAGAGCAGTGTTTAGTAAGGGCTAATTATTATCCACATTAAGGCAAGACCCTTCTGTGTACTCTACCCAGTGTCTGTGGATTGTTAGTTTTTTTCCAATCTGGCTGGAGAGAACAGATATTCTCAGTCTTGTCTGGGGCTATTCTCAGCTCTGTCTGAGTGCTGCATACTATTTTTTTCTACTTCTTTCAGATGGTTCTTTCCTGGGTTTCTGGTAGGTTCCTCACACACTTGCATACCACAGTCCTCTACTGAAAATCTGAGATTCTGTAGTTCTCTGGAATACTCTGTGTGTAGCTCTGTCCTTGGTACTCTGTTAACTCTAATAGCTTTGGTCTCCCCAACTTTCAGTTCTGCTTCTTCAACTCAAGGAGCTGCCTCTTCCTTATTTTGTGGCTTGGAAACTCTCTCGTCGCTTAGCCGATTCAGTTGTAGGGCTCATCGCATAGTTTTTTCTTGTCTTTTAGGCATCGTTATCTTTCATTGCTTGATGTTCAATGTCTTAAAAGCCATTGTTTCATGTATTTTGTCTGGTGAAATGTGACAAATTTCTCTTGCTTCAGGTGAAAAGATAAATCCAGTCGCTGTTATGTCACATTGACTAGAATAAGTCCTTGCTTCTCTTAATGCATTTTTTGATTAACTAAAACATGCATTGATTTCTAGTGGCAGACCATAGAAACATTTGTGCACTCTTCATAAACAGAATGACTTGCCAAAAGCAGCCAATGGAACTTTCCCTTAATACACAAAATGGCAATGTAATATCTCATTTACAAAGATACCCAAATGTTTTCAATATTTAATATGCATTGAAAAGGAAACAAATTATCAAAAAGTTAAAAAAGCACAAAGATTCTTGTTCATCCTCCATGATATAATTTAAAATTTCTTTCTCTTCTATGCGCACCCAATCTCCTGA